CTGCCACAAGTCTGGGACAGCCAAATGACATCATTTACACTTTCAGAAGTTAATATCAATTTGCAAATTTATTTGGGATTACAGTTTTATATGAGTTTTAAGCAGAAGGAGCTTATAGTTTTATATTTGTACCTATCTAAAGTCGTATAATTTTAAAATTATAGGGTCAATGTTGGAATCCAAGTAATTTTTTTCTTTAAAATGGGTGGGTTATCTGTATGTGACTCAACCTTGATGATCCATTATTACACTGGAACACATAGACCCTGAAACTAAAAAATCTGTGAGAAGGTTCAGTATTGAAGGCTTAAATTCTTCTTCCAATAGCAGGTGAAATCATATTAATATTGTCAAGGGCTGTAGAAATTCTAAGATGCCACCTGCCACCTCCACAAAGGAATGATTCTCCTCTGTAGGGAAGAACCCCTTTTGAATCCATGTCAGAAGCTCTAAAAAAGTGTGCATGAGGCATTTGGGAATAAAAAAAAAGAACGAATGAACGAACATGAATCTCAGGCATAAAATCAACAAGAAAAGCTAACTCCAGAAAAAAGAAAATGTATTCCTCTCTGTGGATCATATAATTGGTAAAGAAAACAGCTATTCCTTTTGTTTTCCTTATATTTTAATATATTTCCTTGTATATTTCCTAATTACTCCTTATATTTACTAAAATCATAATCTAGTTATGTTCCATAGAAGAGCAATCATTACTTTTTTATTTTTTATTTATTTATTTATTATTATTATTTTTTTGTCTTTTTCCGTGTCCGGCAACGGATCGCAACCCTCAGTGTTGCCCCCGCACCGGACCAGGGACCGGCAACGGGACCGCAACCCTCGGCGTTGCTCCCGCGCCTCGCTCAGCCAGTGAGCCGGAACCGCTCTGTATGTGGGATCCGAACCCTCGGGCGGGAGCGCCGCCGCGCTTCCCAAGCGGCGCACTTATCCAGTGCGCCACCGGGCTGGCCCTATCATTACTTTTTTATTTGCTTGTTTAGGCATTTTACTCCCCCAAAGGGCCAACAGATTCTTTACTGTAAAATACCAACTGTACAAATTATACAGTGGCCTATTACTCTTTGAGTATTTTTTATTAGGAGAACGGTTGATAACAGTTATAATTACTGTGCACATACTATTTTTTACTTGACATATTTTTGTATATGCTTTCTACTTTTCATTACTACTTAATGATCTGTCATATCATATCTCAATTTGATTAGTTGTTGGACATATGAACTATTACTACTATTTTATAATTAATAGATCTGCTATGAATATATTTGTAAGACAGCTTTGTAAAACAATGATTTCTTTAGATGTGAGGCTGCCAGTTTAAGGCTATGATCAGTTCACAGCACTTTTTCTTTTCTATCCACTATTGACAGTTTTTCAGATTTTTGTTTGTTTTCTAAAATCAAGAATAGATGGTTAACTTTTTTTTTTTTTAAAGATGACCGGTAAGGGGGTCTTAACCCTTGACTTGGTGTTGTCAGCACCATGCTCACCCAAGTGAGCTATGGGCCGGCCCCCAAGAATAGATGCTTAACTTTGTCAATTGCCTTTCTATTGATATAAGCATAAGGATTTTTTTTAACTACTTTCTTAATTAATGTGGCATATTTGGGGGGTTTTGTCCTTATATTAAACTAGCCCTGCCTACAATAAACCTAATTCAGTCACAGTCACAATGAATCTCTTTGGAGATGTTTTTGTTCTCTTTTTATTTAGAAATTGTACATCAATGTTGACAAGTGAGACTGTCCCACAATATTATCCAGAGGTTAGGATTAAGCCCATATTAGCCTTAAAGAATGCATTTGGCTATCATTCCATCTTGTTCTATTTCTATAATACAGAAATTATGAGTTCTTTAAAGTTTGAATTTTTTTTCTAGCAAATCCTTTAATACTAGCTGCCTGGAGTGGAGACAGAACTTTTCGTTTTGTTTTTTCTCTTTTATCATATTAATTATGTCAACAGAATACTGACTTTGTTAATCTTTTAAAAGAACCAAATCTATTTCTTAACGATTATTTATTCACCTAAATAGGTAGTACATGCACATGGTAAGAAATTCAGACCATGTGAGGGAGAAGTCGGTCTTCCTTCCACTCTGTTCCTAGTCCTCGAAAAGTCTCCTCCCTCAGAAGGAATCACTGTTACCAGTTTCTTGGGTAACCTTCCAGAGAAATTTCATAATATATGCATGTTTGTGCAAAAGAAAAACACAGTTTTTTCCTTTTCCACAAATGAGAGCATATTATATACTCTGTGCCATGCCTTTATATAACCTATGTAAGATAATTTATCACAATTTTAATATGGCTTAATACTTTTCAATTTTGTACTTTTATTTCTAATTTTATTTCATTATGATCTATGCAGGTGGTTTTATAAAACTGCTATCTTTTATATTTATTAGAATGTACACTGACATTGTGACATAGATCAATTTTTATGAAAGAGTCAAATAAGCTTTAAAAAAGTGTTTCTCTGGCTCTTATGTTTAATTTTCACCAAATCTGTTAATTTTATTTTAGTAGTTCTTCAATTTAAAACTATTACACTTTTCTTGGTATACTTGCTCTTTTATGATGGTAGAAAAACATTTCCACCACAATCATATTCCTATCCATTTCTACTTTAATATATGTATTTTGTTAAGTTATTTAAGCCATGTAGAGCCAATGAAGGGTTTTTTCATGATTTATTGTGCTTTTATCATTGCCCGTAGTAATCCCTCAATACGTTTTAGCTTAAAAATCTACTTTTTCAGATAAAACTTGAAGTGTTAGCATTTTATGCACTTATAGTGGGAGAAACGTACACAACTTACAAAATATTCTTTTAATTAAGTTTACTTAAATCATTTGCTGTGAATAAATTAGACTTTCTTTCATCTAGCTTAATCTAAAAAATGATGTGTCTCTATTTGTAATTATATTCCCAACATCAACTACCAGAGTATGCAGAAGAGGGCATCTCACTGGTACTGAGGCCAGGAAGGGAAAACAGATATTGTTACTTTTTTCTGATTTAAAGCTCTTGAAATACAGCGGCACATGCTCAATAACCTGGCATGAATTTCCAATGTCAAATTAGTGACACTTTAGGGAGTGATATACTTTGTAAATGACCACAGCTATGCTAGACTGGCTGAGGGTGTTATGGCACTGCCTTTTGTCATTCTCTAGTTACCTCAGGCAATTGGCTAGTCTGCAAGAACGTGATTTCCACCAGACTCTACAGTTTACCTTCCACAAATCCTGTTCTCATCAAGCACACACACAATTTATAAAATCCCCATGACATCAGTAGTTCAACAGTTCATAAAACTTGTCACATTTATAGAAATATTTAACATGAATGAGCAGTAAAATACAGGTACATACATATAAATGCCTTATCAAAAGTATCTTTATTCAAAATATTTACTTGCAAATGGACAGGGATTATGAAGTCCCTTTTCAATAAGTTTATTTTCAGATTGACGGCTTTCTTATCTAGCAATAGAGCATTACTGAATCACAACTTCGTACATGCTAATTATATAAAAATGGACAATCGAAAGCCATATACTTTCTAATATTACCACTGAAATTCATAATGTAAATCCTCAAAATTCTCTTAAATAACAGCCTTTAATATAATTCAGAGTTCTACAAGTTTAAGGAATATTCACGTGTAGCTTTTATAAGAAACATGAATGTTTTGTTCTCTCATTGCAGGAATTACATTACATTCCCTATAGTGCTCTCAGAGTTTTGAGCTTGTGTATCTCCAGAGAAAAAGAAAAACAATTGAATAGGCTAAGGTTAGTAGAAGAATCAGGGTACTGAATTAATAAACCTGCAATCAGAAGTTTCTGAGAAAGACTAAGAAAATGACGTGTAACCAGTTAATCCACGACATTTTTCTACTCACTCCTGCTTCCAGACACCACGATACTGGCTGAACGTGGGGTCACACACGAACACAACACTTTCCAGAGTTTCTGACATCGAACATCTGATAAGAGTTATTTTCAAGTAAAAAGAACCTTCTTAATTCATTTAGATAATTGGGGCCCTGCTGGACTCATGTAAGTTTTAGGGCCTACCAAGCACTAGGTTATACTCTTATAACGATACCTCCAATTCATACCTAGGAAGTAACCAAGAAATATGAGAAAGTTTAAGGGGCCAATATTCGTGCTTTGAAACAGATTTCCCATAAAAGCAATTCTTCAATAAAGAAGTTTAAGAAATCAATAAAGCTAGCATTTTATTCACTGTACTATCCGTCTTGGGCTCCACACCAAAGAGAGTGCTCTATTAAGTGAAACTGTGTTATAACAAGGCCTCCTGTCAACTCAAGCACCAAAGCCCCTCAGAGAGGGTTCAGGATGGATTGACCTTCCCATCTTATAGAGTGGGTTATGTCACAGTGAGAAGAATTAGTCACCACTGCCATGAGAGGCTGCAATTATTATACCAGTTCCTCTGTAGAGCAGAATCTGGTTAGTAACTGGGAATAAAAACAACAATAAATGGATTATTTTGATGGTGTTAATGGAAGAGATACTAAGATCTCTTTAGGAAGTTGTGTAAGACCAAGTCCTAATGAGGGAGGGAAAAAAGAAAAGACGATAAAAAGAGGAACCCATGACACTTAAATTCAAACACCCATGAGATTTGGACATGTACAGATACTTTCCCAAACTCTTCAAAAAGTAAAAACGATGGAATGTACCATTCTTCATTTGACTCAGCACCTCAGTAATACTAAGTGCCTTTCAGTACTGGAGATTTAGTTAACTGATGACATTGCTTTATAGTAGAAATATCGTACAGATATGAAAACAGGGAGATGAAGTTCTCCCACGTTTAAGGCTACTATTTACACACAAAGTTAAGTATGTAAACCTTGACACCCATTCTCCTACACCGAGCCTCCTCAGAACTGCACAGAGGGGCACTCATGAGCGCAAACAACTATTGAATAATTCTTCTGACCTGCAAAATGAGAACGAAGTAGTCTACGGGTTTGTTGCGCTGGTAGAGGTAGTACTCTGGGGCTTTCTTGTTCTTCTCATCATACTTCAGTTCCTGGATGACATTGGGGTGCTTTAGCAGCCTTAGAAGGATCTTCTCTGACATCTGGGATGGGCTAAATGCTTCTACTTCTATAGATATAAACACAACTTGATATTACACTTCAAATGGATGGGAAAAAAAGTATACTAGTAATTAAGGTGTTCAGAAAATAAGAATACTTGGAATCAAAGTGATACAACGTGGATGAACGAGACTTCCGTTTGATGATCCACTGGGGACAGATTACCTGGGAGAAATTAGAAAATGCTGAATTCTCATATTTGTTCCTTTTAAGTCTTTTCTTTTCAACCTGTCATTAACTTCAGTTCTCATAAAAATACCCTAGTTTTCTGACCGACAGAAATGAAAATCAACCAGAAGCAGGCTCCTTCAATGCCAGGACACCCTTCAACAAGCCACAACAGTCTGACTGTCCAAGAACAGCCAAAGGAAGAAGCCAAGGTCAGGAAACATCGAGGTGTGGGTTAGTACCAGGTGCACAGACACAGGTGCTCCACATCGCATTCTGCCACTCAACTATCCTGAGAAATTCTGGGGACAAAGGAGGATGAGATTTGGAATAAAAGCAAGGCACGTGCACACATCAACATGCACTCCAACTTGCTAATTTTTAAAAAAGTAATGTTGATCAGTATTCACACAGAAAGCAATTTTATTTAAAATAACAAAACCCAAAATTACTGACTTAAGGATGCTCTCCTGAAACTGGATGATGTCTCAGAGGCAGAATAGGATAACATTTAATTTGTGGCTCTTAAATGATGAGGAACAATGTCATCAGAATTAGAAAAAGAATAATAAGCAGGTTAAAGATATTGTTTGTCTTTTTCATTTTTTTAAATTATATGTTATACACAAAAAGCTATTAAGTTCTATATTAGCTTCTGTGACTTTATAATAATAAAATAAGATAGTACATTGCAGAAATTTTGGAAAATACAGAAAAAAGAAAAAGATGAAAATAAAAATTACCAATAAACCAATGACTCAGATAACCATTCTGAGCAATTTCGTGAGCATTTCTTTCCAGTACCTTGCCTCGGCATGTGTACCTGTGTATATGTGTGCATGTGTGTACACACAAAAGCACAACTATAATCTTTATGTACACACAGTTTTATATCTTTTCTCCCATTTTACATTCAATTATGAATATTTTCCCATGTCATAAATATTATATTGTGAGTATTTCCCATATATCTGAAAATATGATCTTAAAGAGAATATAACATTCCATCATGTGGTTGCTGTTAGCCTTCTTTTCAAAATATTTTAAGTATATTGCATGTGATTGAAAGGTACTGGGCTGCCCATCTTGGACACAGACGTCTTCTACAAGTCTCTGGGTACTTTCCGATTTTCTCACACTTTCCCTGGCCAGAGCTCACCCTTCACCAAGAGAGCCATTTGGGGATGTGAGAAGGGTTAGTTAGTTTGTTAAGTCCATTCAACCTTGACCTCTCTGGAGCAGTCAGTGCTGGCTGGGTTGATAGTTTTAATAATGTGAACACTTGCCTCCTGGAATGGGCCCAAGTTAACAATCTCATTTGAAGAGGCCATCAAGAAATCCATGTCCAAGTTCCTAGAATGTCTGATATTGTTAAAACCATAAAAGATAAAGACTTAATTTGAAAATCTATTTTTCTTCTTTGCAAATCAAGCACCTGTGTGACCATAGATGTCCAACTGTTCCAAGGCAAGCCGAAGAGAAATTACTCAATTGTCCACTCAAACGAGGTGGAGTCTGGTTCCCACTGTCAGCCTACTCAACCAGCTGGCTCTCGCATGGGCTTAGCTGGAAGTAGGTGACCTGGCTACTGTACACATGCAGTGTGCCGCTAACATTCATCCTTACCTTTCAGACCAATTTTAAGTTACTGGTCCACCCCTGGTAAATGTCTCAGAGGGTTCATGCCGACACTGAACACAGGAGAGGAGAGAATTTAAAAAGAAACAAAACAAAACAAAACAAAAAAACAAAAAAACAAAAAACAAAACACAAAAGTGGCATTACTTATTACCCCATTTCCCGGTGTCCACCCCCAGCCCACCCCAGTCAGTGGTGGGTGAGAAACACGCTCCAGGGTTGGTAGAGATTTCAAACAGTAATAAGCTGCACTTGCCTGTTGCTAGGAAACGGTGCATGGCCAGGAGAAGCTGTGGTGATATTTTAACTTTCATCTCGCTGTCTGTCTGCTTAAAGGCAGAAAAATCTTGCTTTCTTTCACGGTGGGCCACTTTCTTTTTTGTTCTGTTATCAGCTGAGAGATGAGTGAAAAAAGAAAAAGATAAAGAAATGCATTCCAATAGGTCAGAGCTCTTTTTGAATGAAAAAGACAAAACACTGGAAAAGCTATACTACTTCTCCAGCTGTGGGTGCTCTTCCTACAAACACCACATGGAAAGAGAAAGGAAGAGAGAATCCTCATCAACTCAAGACAGCAGCACAGTCACTAGTAACAGCAGGTAACCCAATAGGTAAACGTACTTCATGAAGGTCTTAAGAGCCCTTCTGAGTGCATTACTGGGCAGACTTGGACAAAACCCCTCGCAGAACCTACATAACCACATAGCAACAGAGTATGTAACACATATAGTTTCCTGCAACTCAATGTCGCCACACTCCAGTGAAGAGCCACCACTGTGCTGCACACACGAGGGAAGCGTGTCCCTGCCTTTAAGAGACCCCTAGCCTCAGCTAAAAAGAAAATAAACACAAAAAGAAAACCCCTTAAGAAACAAACAAGAACACTTTCATAGAATGATGTGAGTATTTTAATAATATCAATTTGCTTCATTTCTATCCCAGACCATGAGATCCTCAAGATTAAGCAAATATCAAGGAGGTGATCCAGAATAGGGGTCAGCAAACTTTCTCTGTGAAGGGCCAAAGAGTAGATATTTTAGGCTTTGAGGGCTGTCTAGTCTCTGTTGAAACCACTCCACACTGCTGTTTAGTAAAAGCGGCCACGCATAAATGAATACGCATGGCTGTGTTCCAATAACACTTTATTTATGTACACTGAAATCCAAATTCCATATAATTTTTGCATGTCACAAAGTAATTATTCTCCTTGTGATTTTTTTCAACAATTTTAAAATGTGAAAAGCCATTCTTAGCTTGCAGGCCACAAAAAACAGGTGGCAGGCACTTGTGGCTGTGGTTTGCTAACCCTGACCTAGAAGGTGTCTCATGCAAAACCCTTTCCCAAGTATTTTTGTGGACAAAGTAATGATCAAGAAAAAACTTGCTTAAAGACAAGACCCTAATTGCTTGCTCCTTCAACAAGAATCATTGAGTCATGGCGATATCATTACCTGCCTCGGGTAAAACAGATTGATCACTTTTCCTGAGAAGGCAATTACAACTCATACTTTTCTTCTGTCTCAAATTCTTTTCAGAATCAGGCAGTGTAAATCAATACAACTTAAAATAATTTTCTAATGGCAACCATTGTCATCATCCCTAATCTCCCACCCAGATCAAGAATATACCTGAAATCACAAGTTCAGCATTTTGTACCAATAAGTCATGTTAGGCAATACTTCTGTGTGAAATCAGTCCAATCAAGGTTTAAAAGAAGTTAAACTAATATTTATATAAAACTGAAGTGCAAACATAAGATCTGATAAATGTTAAATTGTCTTTAATGATGAGTACTTCCCCTGGGGAAACACACATATACAGAGACACACTTGGTATTAAACATTCACCTACAAGGAAGGATAAAAGAATGTCAACTCACAAATAACAGTATTCTCTATGATGGGACTTCTGATTACCCTCAACAAAAGGATAAGACAGACAAGGGAAAGGGTACTTTGTACTGATGTGAGAAAAAGCAGAATACATTTTCAGAAGACAGCCATTAAATATAAAATTTATTCTTATAAGGGTACATGGAAGACTTTCTCATTTTTAAAACAAGTGACATTCCCTTCTAGCAAGACTTAAAACCATTCTGCTTTGAGCAAGGCAGACTTTTCCCCAGTACTCCAGCTCACTGGAATGGTCCATTTCCCCCTCTAAGCCGTACTTTAAAGCCAAGAATGATAAACAGAGCTCAGATGTTCTTTCTCTATCCTACCCCTGAGAGCCCCAAACATCTCAGGCCTTGGGCCATCTTTGGGGTTATGAAACTCTTGAAAGAGGAAGAAGGTTTAAACTACACAATCCAGTGATCCAGTTGTGCACTTAATGAGACAGGATTCAGGTTCAATACTCACCCAGGATCAAGTCTACACCTGAGCAAATCAGGTATGGATGCTCATCCCCCCCTGCTCTGATCCAAGCCACCTCCCGCCCAAAAGAAGGCAGAGAAGCAGAAGACAGGAAAAACACATTTTTACTGTGTACCCTACGCTTTCCTGCTTCCTATATCCCCACCCTATCACCACTGTCCCCACCTCTACTCCCAATCCAGGGGTTCTGGAATAAGGAAATTGAAACAGTTGTCATCCATCAATTTAACAAACAAATTCCATTCACTTTTTAAGTATCTGAATTATGAACTTAAGTAAAAAAAGAAACTTATCTGACAAGAATTTACCTAATTGTGTACAATGAGAGTTTAGTAAAAAACGATTCTTCTTACACATGTAAAATAAATTTAAAAGCCAAAAGCAGAGTTTTCCGTTCAAGGAAAGTAATGCCTAGATCAATGGCTACCCTGCCACTTGCCATTTCAGATCTGTCTCTTCTTTTCCCCTCTGATGAAGGGACTGGAATACAGTGATAATTTGTATACAGCCTACACACATGGTGCATAATTATAAACAGAGGCAGACTACAACTGGAGAAGTGTCAGATAACTCACAACCACCACAACAAAAAAAAAAGGAAAGGTTTTGGGAAATTACAATCAGACAATGCAACTCACTGTATAAATCTGTTTCATCTAGAATCTCAGATTTGATGATTTCTTCAATCACATCTTCTAAGGTGACAATTCCCAGAACTTCATAAAAGGGATCCCCTTCTCCCTCATTGTTTACCCGCTGTACAATAGCCAGGTGAGATTTACCTGTAAAGAAAAGAAAACAAAGTTTAAATGGTAATTTTCTGAACTTCCTGAATGACACCTTATAGCATATGATTATGGTAAAAATAGCAGCAACCACAGATACCAAATTATCAAAGTCTGCATTTTAGTATTTAAAAATGGTATGTAGACATATAACAAACAAGTAGAAAAGCTTCATGAGCCATTAAAGGCAAGAGAGTGAAGCCAGAAGACTGTCATCCTCTGTACATTTTACCTTCCACAGTTCTTTCCTTCCTAATGGATTTAGTCTCCAGTAATGTCACCTCCTCCTGTGTAAGCTTTCAGCAACTGCCACGTTAAGAGAACAGTTCTCAAAGTGTGGTTCATGGTCCCCTAGGGATCCCCAAGATACTTTTAGGAGGTTGGTGAGGTCAGACTTTTTTTTTTTTTGTCTTTTTTTTTTTTTTTTACTGACCGGCAACGGGATCGCAACCCTCGGTGTCGCGCCCGCACTGCGCTCTACCAGTGAGCGGGAACCGGTCTCCACATGGGATCCGAACCCTCGGTGGGAGCGCTTCCACGCTCCCAAGCGGCGCACTCTCCAGTGCGCCACCGGGCCGGCCTAGGTCAGACTTTTTTCACAAGAACATTAAGATGTCACCAGCCTTTCCTGCTGTGTTGACACTTGAACTGATGGTGCCATAGCACAGGTCACGGCAGAGGAAGCAAACCGTACTGCTGGTCACTAGCCTGCACCACCCCATGCTCACAGGAAGAGAGGAAAGTCAGTTTCTTTTGAATGTCCTTGATGAAGCAGTAAAATTAATTTCATTAAATCTTGACCCTGAGTACATGTCTTTTAATATCCTATGTGACAAAATGGGAAGTGCCATAAAATGCTCCTGCTGCACTCCGGCACGGCAGGTGTCCCAGGAAAGGCACATGTATGGTTGAGCTACTGGTAGGATTGGCCGCTTTTCTCACTGCAATTCATTTCTACTTGAAAGAGTGACTACCAGACAAACTTTGGGTATTTGGACTTGGATATCTGTCAGACGTGTTCTTGAAAATGAACAAAATGAGCCTGTCACCTCAAGAAAAACAACACAGTGTTTGCTGCCAGTGATAAAACGGGGAAACAACCCCCCCGCCCATGAGCTTAAGAACTTCTCACTAGTTAAAGACTCTTCTGATGAGAAAGGTGGTGACATTAACAAATGTGACTTTTAAAATATTGAACAATGCAATGTGTCAATATTTTGAAGATCTGCATAACTCAGTGAACCAAATTTTGCCAAATGACTATGGCAATAATATTACAAAATCGTGCATAGGTAAACCATCCATTCAGATACAAGATAGAACAGTGGACTTTTAAAAAATTAAACTTATTCTTATTTTGGAATAATTTTAGATTTACAGAAAAGTTACGAAGATAGTACAGAGTTCCTATAAACCCATCACCCAGTTTCCCACACTGTTAACATCTTAAATTACTACAATATATTTGTCAAAACTAAGAAATTGACATTGATACATTAGTATTAAATAAACTCCAGATTTTATTTGGAGTTCACTGGTTTTTCCATAAATGTCCTCTTTCCAGAGTACCACACTGCATTTAGTCATCATGTATTCCCAGTCTCCTCTGGTCTGTGACAGTTTCTCACTCTTTCCTTGTTTGTCATGATGTTGACAGTCTTAAGGAGTACTGGTCAGATCTCCTTTGGAATGTCCTCTGATGTGGGTTTGTCTGATGCTTTTCTCATGATTAGACTGGGGTTATGGGTTTTCTAGTCACTAGTCACATCACATCAGGGGTTACATGACATCACTGACAAAGTTCACCATCTTCACTTGGTTAAAGCTGTGTTTCCCAGGTTTCTCCACTGTAAAGTTACTCATCTTTCCCTTTCTCTAATTCTATTCTTTGGAAGCAAGTCACTAAGTCTAGCCCACCCCCAAAGGAGGGGCATGAGGTAGGAATTAAGGTCTACTTCCTGGAATGGGGGGATATCTACACATATTATTTGGAGGGAGAAGTGTTTACACATATTATTCAGAATTCTTCTGTAAAGAAGACGTTAGACCAAAGGATTTTAATGTAACAGAGCAACAAAAGTTCACCAGTATGGTTTCAGATTCTACACTGTAACTACCCTTTAAGAAACTACCATTTGCTTATGTTGCTACTGAAAAAAAAAAAGAAAAGAAACTACCATTTGTGGAGTTTTGGTGAAGGATCAGAAGAGAATATCCACTGTCCAATAAGGCTACTAAAATACCCTTCCCTTTTATAAATACGCATCTGTGTAATGTCAGATTTTCTTCATATACTTCAACTAAAACAATATTGATTTAGAAGAAGGTAAGAGAATCCAGCTGCCTTCCATTGAGCTACATAATAGAGAGAGATGTAAAAAAGTAAAACAGTGACACTCTTCTGTTCTTGTCTTGGAAAATTTAGTTGTTTTTAATAAAAATGTTGTTTATGTTACTTATTATTGTTCTCTAAAAAATCAATTAATAAGTAAATATGTTTTACTCAGTTTTAATTCAAATACAGTAAACATCAAGATATAACCCATCTAAATAAAAGTTCAAGGGTCCTCAATATTTTTGTTTGTTTGTTTGATTTTTTAGGCGAGTCAAGTGAAGCAGTGGTGGTGGAGAAGGAAAAGAAATCTGTAACTGGTTGTGATGAATTGTAAACACCACTGCACTCTCAGATTCACCAGGTTCTCAATTTTTAAGAGTTAAAGGGATTCTAAGAATTGCTGCGTAGGGGTTAGGCGATGGCAAGGGAAGAACAGGAACTTCTACGAGGAACAGCCATGGATTTGAACTCCAGTGTCACCACTCACTAGCCTGGACCATGAGCAAACTATGTAACTTTTCTGGCTTCAGTCTCCTCATCTCTGAAACCAGGTTCATAATAATTGCTGCTGCACAGGATTGTTGTGAAGATCACAGATAATGTTGGTACCTAGCAAAGACAGTGCCTAAGATCTACTAAGAGATAAATAAGTGGTAAATCTTATTATTTTATTAATGTTTTCCCTCAATTCTAAGGCACCATCAACTTACTACTAGCTTAGTTGGGGGGAAGGGGGAAATGTACATTAAATGCATACAGTGATTAAAAGATGCATTTCTATTTCAGAAAGATTTTTTAAAATGTTAAACATATCTCAAACACCAATAATGTTTTTCCCAATCCAAGGCATACAAAGCATCTAAAACATAAATTAACATATCCATAAATTAAGCCAAAGTAGACATGATCTGGAAACATCACAATCTGTTAACATTCACATTATTTTTTGAACAACAGTGTGTTCTGGAGGGGAGAGGAAGAGTGGGAGGTGCAGAGGCTTTAAATAAGATTTAGTTAACACTTTATTTATTTATTTATTTATTTTTTCCTTTTTTGTCTTTTTTACTGACCAGTAATGGGATCGCAACCCTCGGTGTCGCGCCCATACCGGGGACCGGCAACGGGATCGCAACCCTCAGTGTTGCGCCCGCACCGCGCTCAGCCAGTGAGCGGGAACCGGTCTCCACATGGGATCCGAACCCTCAGCGGGAGGGTCGCCGCGCTCCCAAGCGGCGCACTCTCCAGTGCGCCACCGGGCCGGCCCTAGTTAACACTTTAAATTGGGTGAGTTCACTCAGACGCAACCAGCCAGACAAACCAAGAATATTCTCTGAAGGCCATGTCTGATCAAGTTCCCAGCACTCACTTAGAAACTGGCTTTGGTTCTGTAGGTTTGTCAGCCCTTTCTTAAGTCAGCAGTCTAACCAGTTTCTGCTCTGTCTCAGACCCCTTTATAGGCAACAGTGTCCACCAGCCTAAAAGTTCAGATAGTTAGACAATTAGGCATCCTAACAATTTTCATCCCCTGCCCGCTCACGCTCAAAGAATGAAAATATTTTGAGCAAAGGAGACTAGGAAGGAAACTTATCAGCAATAGATATAAACACTGAATCAGGTCAAGTCAATTCTCGTCTAGTCTATTCAGTTGGGTAGGTTTCTCACATCTGCTTTCCCAAGGACCCAACATAAGCAGTTAAAAATTCTTGGTCAATGCTGTCTGTCGAAAGTTAAATTCTTTTGCTATTCCCAGCTTGTGATCATTTAAAAGGAATTTTCCAAAGCAAGGTCTAATATTAGACTCAAAATGAAGTTTCCATTCCACTGAGGCGCTATTCTCACCAAAGTAACTACCACATAATCAGATTGTCTTGGAGCAACTCGTTTAAATGCAGATGGACATACTTGAAATACCAGCTCGATAGCACCAACAGATCTGACTGCAGGGCCTTACTCTAGGAGAAATTATTCATGTGAGTTAGGCTTCTTAGATCGAAAATTATTAAGTTTTCTTCCAAGCTCCCTTGTAGCCATTTACACCCCCACCTGCAAGATTGAAGCTTCTACATCTGCCCCAGAGCCATATTCTTTCAGCTTTGGAATTCCTGGGGAGAAGTCCTGTTTTCTGAACCTTCCTCTAATGCACAGTAGAAAAAAATGATACCTCTCTTCTTTACTTAGGCTTCTGGACAAGAGCAATTCGATGCAGCTTCCCCCTTATCCAACATCTGCCCCAGAGCCATATTCTTTCAGCTTTGGAATTCCTGGGGAGAAGTCCTGTTTTCTGAACCTTTCTCTAATGCACAGTAGAAAAAAATGACACCTCTCTTCTTTACTTAGGCTTCTGGACAAGAGCAATTCGATGCAGCTTCCCCCTTATCCAGTCACTGCAAGGACTTTAGTGTTCAGGTCTCCTCAAGGGATTAATCATAAGGAAAATGTAAACAACTTTTCAATACAGAAATTTTAAAAACTGAGCTCAAACAGGGCCGTTCTGAACCTGATTTATAGGTGCATTTATAGGTATTAAATAAACTAAAACTTTTAAACATAAATTGATTAAATAAACTTCATTAACTGTATATAGAACAAATAAAGCATAAATTCCTGTCATCATCAGGGCTAGCCTTTCTGGCTAGCTGTAAGAGGTCTTGCAGTATTACTAACTCTGAACTGTCCTGACATTTAAACCCCTAGCCTCTCTCCTCCTTGTCTGGTCCTAGAAATGGAGGTAAAAGGAATCACTAAGCCAGGCCTAAGAGAATCTAAGCAGTCCTGTTTTCAGAGTACAGGGCTCTATGAATACATCTCCACTCAAATTCAGAACCATAAGCAAGCTATTACGAAATAATAGCCTTGATTGTTCACCTTTCTGGGACCGGTATATGCTCAAGGAAGGGCACTTGCACAGATGAAATTACAAGAACCTGGTCTTCCTGTGAAATGGACTAAGTGAAATCACCTACACAAGGGGGAACTGGCATCGAACGCTGCCTGCCTCCACTGATCCACA